GTACGGGAGCCGGGGGTCTCAGGGACATGGCAACGCCGACGGGCTCTACGCAGGCCCAGTTCCAGAACAGCACCCAGAACTTGCCTCAGAGGCCCATGCACCAAGCCCACAACATGAACCAGCCGCCACAGAGTAACGGTCGGCCCTCAGAGCCTCAGCCCTCTGGCTTCCAGAAGTTCATGAAGGTCTTGTGCTGTGGTTAGGTTCCAGGCCACTGGTTCAAGAGTTAGTTCACTTACGCACTGGGTGTTCGATGACGTGTTTCATCTGACAGCACTTCAGATTGCTTCAGTTGCTGTCTAAATCGCTGCCGCGAGTATTGGGTTATATAGATATCGACCACAGCGACAAGCGCAGCCATGATCTCTCACCGGTGTTCTGGGATATAGAAGGCTTTCTTTTCGAGATGACCTTGCTTTTCACTCATACGACTCGTCCATCGCATACGGCCGTCCTCCTCGTTCCACCATAATACGACCCAACGCGGGTTTTTCTCCATTCCGCCGTTGATACCGGCCATGTTTTGTCTTGTCGATTCGCATGGCGCCATTCGTTGGCACGACAAGTCCGGTTTCTCTCCTCACCTCCCGTCATGAAAAGCAAGAAGCATAAAAGAAAAACTCGGTTTCATGGACTCGGATCTCGATCTCCACCCCGCCGCCATTTTTCCTATGATGATGAAATCCACTCCCAGATACAAAGCTTTTGTTGGTAATTGCGAGAAATGTGATGCTGCGCAGCACGGCGCCAATGGTTGTTGTTTTGGTCTTCTCTCTCTGAACAGCCAAAGGGGGTAAATCTGCATTGGGTCTGGTCAGGGTTCACTTATTTTTAGTTTTCATATGTCATCCATCCATCCATCCATCCACCACCCCTTGTCTGTTCTATAATACTTGCGTTGCTGGGGAAGAGAAAGGGGAAAGAAGCACAAAAAGGAGAGCTAGTGAGATAGCGATGAGGGTGGCTTGTTTGAGTTTGCGATTGTTGGGGGTACGATTGCATGTGGTGGATATCTCGAGAAGCGAGTGGGAGAGAAGAAGAAGCTAGATAGACGGAGTAGGATCAATGGATATGACGATAACTTCATTTACTTTTCCTACCACGTGAGTGATAGTTTTGGCAGGATTGATGTTGCCATAATGCCGAGTCCATGAGGTTTTCTAAATCGATCGTCACATAGTAAAGAATATATTAACAAGTCGGTGGACACACATGTTGGCTTTCATATGATTCAAAGTCACTGCGGTCCCATTCGACTTTAACTTCTCGACTCTTACAGAAACAGCCTATTTGCCATCGCATTCGTTCATTATGGAATGCAGGACATTGCCTCACTTTCACAAAATATGGAATTCCTCAGTTTCATGTCCCGCTGTATCATCATTCACAGGCTCATCTAGTAGATAAGAGTTTCCACTTATAATCGTCCAATGGTCAATTCCACGTTCTCGAAGAATACAAGGCATGGGGACACCCTTGATGTGACACACATTATCACCTTGTTGAGCGTATCTTGATCCTACTCCAAGATTCCCATTCATAGTTAGAAAAGTTCTATTACCATGACATGCAGCTCGAAACGAGCGGATGTTTTCGTCGTGTAAAACGAATGTATAGTCTCCGCGCGTAAACTGCCACGGGTTTAGCAGAGTTA